ATGTGGGGCTCGATCCCAGGACCCTGGGATCATGACCTGAGCCTAAGGCAGACGCTTAACGACTGAGCCACCCAGGCGTCCCAAGAACTTTTCCCTAATTTTAAAAGATAGCTGCTAGGTAGTAAAAAAGTCATAGGATTGGCTTCAAATACAGGTCATGGCTTTATGTAATATATTTTTGAAACTTTTCTAGAAGGTTTACATGAATCTCATGTTAAAATGTATGATCATATCTTTAATTATCTAAATTGCCATCATACAGGGTATACTTTTAATAAGTATGTCAATTAAAAAATATAAAAGAATAAAATTATCTGATTTTTTGGGAAGCAGGTACTTGTCTACATTGTACCTGATTTTTTTAGCCACATTTCTCATAGATCTCAGTGAAGGATGAAAACAGATTGGTTAGCAGAATAAACACAGGATATTGGTTCTCTTGTAGTCTCATACTTCATCTTGATTTCTTTAAGAATAGTTAGTTTATCCTTTTCCTAATACCATTGTTAATCTTAGTGTACATACGTGGAACGTGTGCACTGGGTCCCTGAAGTTCACCTACCTGGACCCATTGGTTCGTGGGCCTTTGGGTACATGCAGTAACGGAGGGATTTTTTTCTTGTGTGTATGAGGTGTAATTACTCGTTACCAAATTATTTTTTATTGGAGTGTTTTAAATATTTTCTTTTATAACCCTTTTAGCCAAGAAAACCATGTGGGAAAGGCTGACAGCCCCTGAAGATGTATTTAGTAAATTACAGCGAGAAAACATAGCCATCATTGAGAGCTACGGTGCTGCCCTCATGGAAGTGGTCTGTCGAGATGCCTGTGATGGTCATGAGATTGGAAGGGTACAGTAACTCCTATTTAGTAGAATAATTGAATAAATATTTTGGCTCATTAAGGTATAAACTGCATCAACTTTCAAATGCATGTTGCATATTGAGAATTGTTTTCTGTAATATATTTTAGTGAATTTTCTTACTTGCTGTGATTTGGCATTTCTGTCGTTTATTCATATGTTTTGTTTAGTTCCGTTCAGAATCTCAGTTTGTTCAGAATCTTCCCTCAGAATAATCTTTGTGCTGACTGTGAGGTTGGCCCTACACTGGTAGAAATGCTGCTTAAGGAAGATCTTGGTTAAGAGAATGCTGGGTGCACAGCTTTTATACTGAATATGTCTTTCTCTGCTTTGTGGAGGGGAATTTGCATTTCTGTTTTTTTAAAATACTGTGTCAGACTGGTGATAGCGCAGTGAGAAGGTAACTTCCTGCTGGTGGAGAATTTCATAGCGTTTGAATCATACACAAGTGATCCTGGAACAACATGGGTTTGAACTGCATGGATTTGTTTGACTAGTAGAGTACAGCACTGTAAATGTATTTTCTCTTATGATATTCTTAATAATATTTTCTTTTGTCTAGCTTACTTTATTGGGAGAATACAGTATATAGTACATGGGATGTAGAAAATATATGTTAATCTACTATTTACGTTACCAGCAAGGCTTCCGGTCAACAGTAGGCTGTTAGTAATTAAAGTTGTGGGAAGTCTAAAGTTACACGTGGTTTTTCCACTGTGCTCCTAAAGCCCGTGTTGTTCAAGGGTCAGTTGTATTTGAAGACCGTGGGAAACGAGATTTTAAGAAATAGGATGAAATATAAACTGTGTAGTAAGTTCTCAGTTACGTTGAAAAAAGTTTAAGTGTTTTTATGCGTTGAAAAAAGACTGGGAGGAGAGAGACCAAAATGGATTAATGGAGTGTTTATCAGACCACATATTTTCTATATGCTTTTCTACGTTTTCTAGGTTTCCTGTAATGAGCATGTAAAACTTCACAATTAGGAAAAAAAGCTATTTTAAAAAGTCCCTTTCCTCCTTTTATTGATAAATCGAGATTCCGTATACATAGCTTTCAGTTTCTCAAAAACAGAACAAAACCAAACCAAAATAAGAAAATGTTATTTTAAGCTACCATCCCCCTGGTAAGAAGAGTTCTCAGTATTTTCACATAAAGGCAGTTTCTGTCAATGATTTTGGTGGCCGTTTCTGTGTTTCGGACTGTGATTTGTTCTTCCCTCAGATGCTGGCCCTGGCTCTACTTGATCGGATTGTCTCCGTAGATAAGCAGCAGCAGTGGCTTTTGTATCTTTCTAATAGTGGCTATTTGAAGGTGCTTGTGGACAGCTTGGTAGAAGATGACCATACTTTGCAGAGCTTACTAACTCCACAACCTCCCCTTTTAAAAGCCCTTTATACTTACGAATCCAAAATGGTAAGGCTTTATATTCATTTGAAGTTAGATCAACAGCTCACTTCCTCTTAGAGCTATAGCTATATTAAAGAACATTAATGTGGCCGCAATTTTGAATATTTCCATCTTTTACGGAGTTTGAAATTTGGAACATATGTTAGAAATGCATCTTCCTAGCATGCCAGAGTTGAGTTGAAGTGATCCTGAGAGGGTTGGTGGGTAATGGAACTGCTGCTCACTCAGGCTGCTGCTGATGGCGAATGATAGGACATTCAGTCCTCTGAGGAGAGCAATGAGCAAAATTGTCTCTTCACAATAAAATTCAGACTCTGTTAGTTGCCTGGTGAACATTCTAGTGTAGATGTACTTGTTCTAGTTTAACACAGGATTTTCAGTACAGTATATAACCCATTATTTCCTTTCCTCCAAATTTGTTTTCTGTTTCCTCCTGGTTGAAAATACTACAGTGTCACAATAACAGGAGCACTGAAGTCTTAGATTCCTTACTAAAGTTCTTTCCCCTCCTTTGTTGATTCAATAAGTATTTATTAAATACCTACTACATGCCAGGTGTGGCACTGGGTACTAGAAATACAGTTGTGTGCAAAACAATCTTCCCTGCCCTCCATACGCCCACATGATGATCAGAGAAACTACAGTTGAGTTGAACACTTCCTTCATGCCGAGGCACTGGATGCGATTGAGATACACGGTGCCGTTCAGTCCTCATAGAATCCTCTGAGAACCGTAGTGTGTGCCCCTGCACAGCTAGCTCAGAATTTCTCTTCGCTATGATTAAAGATCACAAATGTGCTGTGACAGAGTCTCATTTGTATCTCAGGCCCTTGAATATGATTTCTGTACTGATGCTTTTCCCTTTGTAACTTCTTAGGCATTTCTTACAAGAGTGGCTAAGATACAGCAGGGTGCGTTAGAGCTGCTGAGGTCTGGGGTGATAGTGAGACTGGCACAATGCCAGGTCTATGACATGCGCCCAGAGATGGACCCACAGGGGTAAGTGTCCATATACATTGGTGTTGTTTCCTTACTAATTCTTCACTGTAAAGGGTCAGTGAGGGAAAAAGATATTCCAAACATAATTTTGCCATTGCTTTGTCATTCTGTTTGAGCAGTATTCTTTCATCCTGATGACTCTTTTTGGGTCCTACGTCCCTGCCATTTACTAATAAGTGGAAGTTGCTAGTAAGAGTAAAAGGAGGAGGGACCTAATGCTTTCCATTTTAGAGCAGTAATGTAAGAGGGAAATAGAGCCATTTTGTTAGTAAATGTTTTTCTTCCCAACTTTAGTGTTCTGTTCAACAGAACATATATTTTTACGGGCACCTGGGTGGCCCAGTCGATTGAGTGTCTGACTCTTGATTTTGGCTTGGGTCATGATCTCAGGGTCGTGAGATCTAGCTCCATGTCGGGCTCCGAGCTCAGCGCGGAGTCTGCTTGAGATTCTCTCTCTCCCTCTCCCCCTACCCCTCTCCTGCTCACGCTCTCTCTCTTTCTCTAAATAAACAAAATCTTAAAAAAACAAAAAAGAATATTTATTTTTAGTTATAGTGATCCTTTAAAGTATTGTAGTGAAATTATAATTTGTTGTGGATTTCCTATTCCTGATGACTTGAATAGTATTTTATATTTTTGTCCTTGTAGCATTTTATCAACTGCTTGCACATTTGAAATCTTTTAGTCAAACAATTTTTTAAGTTTTGAGCTTTTTTTTTTTAAAGATTTTATTTATTT